GCAACCACGGGGACTTGGGGAAAAAAAACAACCTTTTTTGCTGCGCGGTTTCGGGAGGAAGGGATGCCACCAGAAACGCGATCAGATGCCTGCCCTTGCCCCGTGGTTACCAGAAACTAGTACCTCGGAGGTACTAGTTTTTTACCCCGCATCTTCGGCGGGAAGCCTCAAAAAAACAACTCATACATTAACTTAAGATGATCCAAACAAAGTAAGGAAAGCAATCCCAAATGCTTTCATTTACTTAAAATTATTTGGCAGAGAATTCGACACTTTAATGATGGTCTGGGCCTGGCTGGGGCGATGGCATGCGCGCCCGCAGAGAGGGCTCTGAGTGCCACCTCTGGCACCTGTGCCATAGGTTCGCCACCACTGATCTAGGGTACTAAATGGAATCAAATGTAACGTGTAGCATAAGATAATAGTACACAGAATAGAAAGTAATCCTCGTTTAGTATTTAGATATAATAGGAGTCAGTGGATGAGCCGGAGAATACTTTCTATTAATAAAGGGGGTGAATAATGTAATAGACTGTTGAAAAATTAGTATCTTGTATCATTGTTCACTATAAACATTAATAAACTGTGAATTAAAAAAACCCACACACAATCATGCTGAAGTATTCAGACAAGAAGGGTAGCCGTGAGAGTCTGTCTGTAGCAGTAGAAAAGAGTAAGAGTCCAGTAACACTTGAAAGACTAACAAAAGTTGCGGCAGGGGATGAGCTTTTGTGAGTCACTGCTCACTTCTTCAGATAGTATCTGAAGATGGTATCTGAGGAAGTGAGCAGTGACTCACGAAAGCTCACACCCTGCCGCAAATTTTGTTAGTCTTTCAGGTGCTACTGGACTCTTACTCCTTTCTACTTATTCAGACAAGCTTAACTGGACATAAAAATAAGCGCTTTAATATCTCATTGATTTCATGAGGGGAGATTTAAATAGGCACTTCCACAAATGATTGGAATGGCAGGAACTAAAATAGCTGTTTGTTTAAATTGATAACAGCAGTTTGCTTTTACATAAAGGATTACATATCAGCTCTTCAAACCAAGGTAATTAGAGTTAGAGGAATACGGAAAAATATAGATAAATTGGTTCAAAGCACATAACGGTTGCTTAATAACTGAATGCTAAGCAATCTAATTCTCACATTTTAATTGAATCGCACTATTTAGATCTTGTAGTTTAATATTTGACACTAAAAGTAAAATGTTCTACAGAAGTTACAAGATTTGTTTGGTAATTCTGTTAGTACCTTGATAGATGTCACAAGGGCTTACTTCCCGAATAAAAGTCCATATTTTGCTTAATTGAAGGGAATATTTTTAAAATCTGTACAGGGCATTGCTGACAAGGTGGTTGTCTTGGACTGTTCAGAAAGTACAATGAAAGGAGGAACAATGGATTTAGAAATCTTTGCCCTCCCAAATGTGGAAGTCAGTAGAGGTAATGTATTGAATTTCTGGTATGTGTTTATGTGCATCTGCTGAAGTGGAAGGAAAGAAAGGTACATGGAGACTGTTGTAGGGTCAGGGATCCTTGGATTAAGGTACAATGGCTTGAACATTATCTGAATATACTATTAATTTCAACATTTTTGCACCCACCCTACCTTGTTGTGCCTTCTGCTCCTGGGTAAAAGGGAAAGGAGAGAACGAGCCACAGCATGAGCATACTTCTGCTCATGCTTCATAGGATCCAAGCCACTATAACGGCAGACAGAAAAGCAAAAGTAGTTCTTTGAATTTTATTTGTACAATTCGTTACATGTTTTTAGTGAAGTACTGCGATGGTACCTCTCTCTTATTTTGTGTGGTTAGGTGTGATGTAGTTTTAAATTTCTTGTTGTTGTTTTTCTCTCTCGCTCAAAGTACCTATCGCTGCCACCAGGAATGTAATTACAATTAACCTTTCCCACAGTATTGCGCCCAAGCCCAAAGGCTCCTTCGTTGGACTATGAGGTTCTGAAGATAAGACTCTGGGTTAACAAGAAACAGGGGTTATTTCGTAGAAAAAGAGGTCCAGGAGCTCATTAGCATAGCTCATTAGCATAACTTATTTGCATATGCCACACCCCCTGACATCACCGGAAGTGTGTCAGAAGGCACGCATCTGCTGAAGTGGAAGGAAAGAAAGGTACATGGAGACTGTTGTAGGGTCAGGGATCCTTGGATTAAGATACAATGGCTTGAACATTATCTGAATATACTATTAATTTCAACATTTTTGCACCCACCCTACCTTGTTGTGCCTTCTGCTCCTGGGTAAAAGGGAAAGGAGAGAACGAGCCACATCATGAGCATACTTCTGCTCAGGCTTCATAGGATCCAAGCCACTATATTGGCAGACAGAAAAGCAAAAGTAGTTCTTTGAATTTTATTTGTACAATTCGTTACATGTTTTTAGTGAAGTACTGCGATGGTACCTCTCTCTTATTTTGTGTGGTTATATTGGTTACAAGATGTCTCGTTAAGTCGCTCAGTAAAATCTTTCCCTTTTTACTCAGGTCTCTGTCAGTTTTCCCCCCTCACACTCTTAAAATACTCTAACTATATTAGATTTTTCCTAATATGCCCCCTTAAGTATATTTTCTTCCTCCTTTAGAATCTTAATTCCTTTCACAGAACTTCTGATTCTAGTTAGAAGACTACTTCTCAGACTCTGCATAGATTGACCACAACTGACAGCTATTGACTGATGACTTCAGACTTCAAACTCCTGACTTCAAACTCCACACACACACACCTCGTAGCCCCACCCACACACTCTCGTCACCAACCAATCACTTCACTCACTCATCACCCTCTTTCACACCCCCTTGTACTTCTGCTACTTGCCAACCATTTAAAGAAACACACACATATAACTTGAAATCATGAGGTACATCTTATTCTAAGGCTTCAACCTTTGTAAAACTGGGATACAATGTTGTTGTTTTTCCCTTGGCATTCCTTAGATTTTTCTGCCACGAGAGATTCCAAAGTGGTGGTGCTTACAGTGAATTATTTAGGCAATGCTCAGTCCTATCTGGATGTTGTACAGAACAATGTGGACCTGTTCAGAGGCATTATTCCATCAGTAGCACACTATAGTCAAAACAGTATACTGCTTGTGGCATCCCAGCCAGGTATGACAATATTTACCGTTATGATTTATTGATCCCTGGATGTAACATAAACTGTGTAATAACTATTCTGAAACTAACAGGCTTCTTTCTTAATGAAGGAAGACATAAATGTGCCCTGTTTGTCACAGTACTACATCTCAAGAGTATAATTAACGTTTTGTATATTGTGTAAATCATGACAGACGAAAATGACTTGTATCTTGTTATTTTATTCTCCATAAATGATTAATAGGAAAATGTATACTTCCCTGATCTTGAACAATTGTATAACATGTATGTTTCAGGACCCCCCCTCCCCCGGAAACTCGTAGGCTATGATCCTGAGCATGCTTACTTGGAAGCTTAATTTAAATAAACGGGACATTTCTGAGTATAAATATGCTTAGGTTTGAGATGCCAGTTCTTGAAACAAGCATGCAGAATTGAAGCTTATTTTCAAAATACGGTGAAAATGAGTAGCCATTAAGCAGTGAAACTGAGTTATACTAGATCCACATGTTTAAACTATCCTTAGAGAGCAATTTTAAACAAGTTGCTTACTCCCAGAAAAGTTTCCTTAGGACAGCAGCCTAAATTCCATAGCAAATGGTACACAGTAGAACAAAGTAGTAATAATGTCTAGTGGGAGGTAATTCAGCAGAAGCATAAAGGGAACACAGACTGATACAAAAAAAAATCACGCCAAACTATCCTTTGTTATCTTAGTCAAAGACATTCATGGTTGTTGTTTTTCTGAGATTAATAGAATTCCAGGTACCCATTTTCTTACACCTCCTAAAAGACTGATGAAAATATTCTTTTTCCCCCCTTGTGAACTTGAATGTTGAATTGAACTAAAATACAATTCTGTGTGCCTTCATATATGCTTTTGTTGAACATACAGTGGAAATAATGACATATGTATCGTGGAAGATGAGCGGATTTGCCAAAAGCAGAGTTATTGGGATCGGCTGCAACCTGGACTCAGCAAGATTCCAATATATTATTACAAATCTGCTGAAATCACAGTCCAGAGGCAAAGATACTTGGATTATTGGTGAACAAGGGGAAAACAAAGGTAAATTTATGGTATTTTAGGCCTAGTCTTCATTTTGAATGAAGACACAACTGTTCTGTTGCCATTTTCTTTCTCCTCTTAGAAAACATTTCTTTGTAATTGTATTGT